TTGAATGCAATAGCCAATCAGATTTTAGATAGTCACCAGTTTCACCAGTATGATTTAGTTTCACCAGCAGCTCTAGTTGTTAAATAAGACCCGTACGATAAGAATCCTATTCGACTCAAATTTCTGTTTGAAATCGGACTTATCTCGGATTAAATAATGCCGATTTGAACCCGACATGCTTTATTTTACCTGTGATGCTCTAAAAAAAAGACTTTGTTTCTAGACTCCTGGCTTTTAATTTATCTTAACCTTAATTCTAAATTTTACTATACACCGACACGATCACTGGTGTGTTAGTGTTGATTATAAAAAATTATCCGGTTATGAAAATCAAGAAATTACTTTACGTATACCGATACCGATACCAATACGTATTTTAAAGCATGTACGACATACTCTAATCTAAATGTGCCGATCTGATTGTCTGCAGATAGCGATAGTTTTAATGTTTGTCTATCAATGTCATGTTTTAGATCAAGTTCACTAGTTACAAGTTACTTTGCCAAGGCTCGTTGGTTTTCATATAGAACTTTGCCTTATTGTTCAAAGTAGGTGATCATCAATAATTAATTTTTCAAATAAATAATTGCGATAACGTCATCATTATATATATATTTTTTTTTCGCTCTAATACTTAAAAGGTTCAATATCATATTACTTCATTTTTAGTACATTTTTGCTTTTTAACGTTAATAATTTTTTAGAATTCTTTATCTGCAACACAGAGAACTGTTGCTTTTTTGATTTTAAAACCCCGTTTGGATCGTTATTTTATAACGCGTGCGTTAGATCTCAACTTTCTTATTTATCTTCCACTTCTTCCAGCTTTGCAACAATGACCTCTTTTGTAAACCTTCCTCCAAATTTCGTGCTTTCTCCTGATCGCTCGCACGCTGTATTAGCAACTCCCATTGAGAAGTCAAACAATGATGATAGAGACTATCGATTAATTCGATTAAGCAATGAATTAGAAGCTTTGCTAGTTCATGATCCAACTACCGATAAAAGTAGTGCTTCTATGGATGTTTACGTAGGAAATCTCTCGGATCCGGTAAAATTTCAAATTATCAAATTATATGCTTAATTTGGGTGGGTTTGTATTTATTTATATGTATTTGTATTGTGTTTCAATATCCAGGACGATTTACAAGGTCTAGCTCATTTTTGTGAGCATTTGTTATTCATGGTAATATATAATAAAATATATAATATTACAAACAACATACTTCTTTTCTTGTTTCTCAACATTTAATATTTTTTTCGATATAGGGTACTAAAAAGGTATTAAAATATCCCTAATAAATTCAATCAATTTTAATCAATTTTAATCAATTTTAATCAATTCTATTAAGTCTATTAATTCTTATTTAATTTTTATAGTATCCAAAAGAAAATGAATATAATAGCGTAATATTCTAAGTTCCTTCATAGTCTATTCCATTTTATACGTTTTATTAAACTTTATTCATTTTTTTTTTCTAGTTTTTATCAAAACATAGTGGCCATTCCAATGCTTATACAGGATTAGACAATACAAATTATTATTTTGAAGTTGGTTATGAGTTTTTAGAGGGTGCACTTGATAGGTGATTTTTTAGTGCTTGCAATTTTGTAATTTATTAATTCCCACAATTTTATAATTTTATAATTTTATAATTAATTAATTGTAGCGGCTGATGCTGGAATTTGGTCCTATTTTTATATGAAAATTTACTATTTTTTTAGGGTGTTTTTTTTAGGGTTTGGTTAGGATCCTGGGCTAGAATTGATAATTAAAATGTATATGCGGATTTTAGCAGGGAATATAATTTAAATCGAAACTCCAAATTTCAGCATCAGCCGCGACACTAATTGATTATATTAATTGTATTAATTGTACTAGACGTTTAACACATCCCTTATACATTGTCCTAGATTTTCGCAGTTCTTCATTTCCCCGATCTTTGACCCTAGCTGCACTGATAGGGAAATTCTCGCTGTTGATTCAGGTTAGTTATATAAATGTTCAAAAAAAAAAAGTTTCTAGTTATCATATAATCGATACTAACGTTGTAACATTTCATTGTTCACAGAACATAAAAAAAATCGACAATCTGATGCATGGCGGTTATTCCAACTGGAAAGGTCTTTGTCTGATCTAAAGCATCCTTATTCTCGTTTTGGGTCTGGAAACTTGTTCTCTTTAAGAGATATTCCACGTCAAAAAGGTTTAGATATAAGAAATGAATTATTAAAATTTCATGAAAGATATTATTCGGCCAACTTGATGAAATTGGTCGTTTTGGGTAGAGGTAATTATAAGTTATCAAGCAGGCCTAACCTGATAATGGATTTATCTGGTGACTTATAATGAT